CGACTATTCCACTTTGGACAATACTGACAAGTATTGTGAGCAGGTAGCATTTTTGATCGTCTAAACAAGTATTCTTTTTGATCTATAGTCTCTATTGAGATTTTTAATCAGAACAATTTCAGAACAAGTTTCAAAAATATCTCACGCCAGCAATAAAATAATAGTTTTTTTTTGCCTCTAAACGAGTAAATTTGTCATACTTGGCTCGGAGTAATAGCAAACTTCAATCGAATTCACGCATGATGTAATGAATTTATTGGGTATCATAAGGGAGTATTGGGCCCTGATAAGTTTCATCGGGATACGCCAAGCATGCACCTTCGATTCAAAATCGTCAAACATATATAGATACACGATTATTCGCCACTATCAAACCCGCACCGGTTATCTCTTTTGTTGTAAGTTTGATACAGTTAAGCTACCATTAAGAGCCTCAGCGATTAGGGTAGAATTTGTTTCCACCGGACGTGCAGTTGATAAGCGAGGATTTTCGCCACTGACTGGCTCCGCTCTGATTCTATCCACTCCACTAGTTTTCAATGATTCTAATTTCAAAGTCAATAAGTTTTGCCATTTTCAGATCCCATAGCGCAGGAGCAGATGCAAACCTTATCATAGAATTACCGTCGTCATCCGACATGCGTGCCTTCAATTTGATGAGTGCGCGTGATGCAACGGGAAATTCTAACGTGAAGTTTCTTCGTGCAACGAAACGCTTTTTCAAGAAGATTTATTCGACGGCCACGCTGCCGAATAAGAAATCACAGGAAGCCGAATCACAGCTACAGAAGTCGCAACAGTTCTTTGACATCGGGTAAGTGAAGAAATTGTAGCCAGTAGTTGAAATGACAACAATTCTTCTGCGTCTCTCACATAATTACGTCTATTTCCCTGTGTCAGTGTAGGTTTGTGGGGTACGGAATTCCAGATCCACTGTGAGCACGCAACGGTCCTTGGCTAGGGCCCGCAGCAAGCAGTTCGGGACTGTTACAAGAGGCCCTCATAAGTTGCAATAGGTATAGCAGACTCCTGATTTGAGATTCGTTGCTTCCATTTCAGATACCCATGGTCCCTTTTGCAAAAGTCTTTCCCTAAAGGCTGGTTGGTTTAGGAGGTCGGGAAAGGGAAAGTAGAATCCTATTTGCTTTCAGTGTTTTTGATACCTTACCATACAATCAAAAACTCATATAATTAGGCTCTTTTTATCTAGCCAAAAGAGATTATGAGGCAATAAGAAAAGTGAAAGGTCGTGTGCAAAGCATTTGTAAATAAAACGTCATACGCTCAGCTCTTCCGCTAGGATTGGTCCTCAAGAAAAAGTCCATCGAGTTGAGGGGGTTGCATCATCAGAGGGTGTTCACACTCTTAGAGCTCACACGGGAGCGTAAAGAGAACCGAGTGCGTGACTGTTTGAAGAACCTTTTCCCTGAGAGATGTCCTGGTCTCTAGGGTTGAGCAGATGAGTGCGTTTTAAGAGCATGGAGTCTCCAGACCAGCTGATTTCGATAACTTCGTATACTCCCCATAAGTTTAATCGGGCATCACTGGGAAACAACCTCTGGTTACCAGTTCTTTGTTGGGTTTACAAAAGAAAACCTAATGAACTGTGTCGCTCACAAGATCCGATCACTTCTTCTCAAGTCGATTAAACGCCCTTGAGAGGACACGTGGAATTTCGCGTAAGTAGGCCCTACTCTGATGGACAAAGGTTCTGTATGCTTTCGGAACATTGCGTTTCCAGGACAGGTCAATGGCAAGGGGGTGTGGCCAAAAACCAGTCTGAAGAAAATGTGAAAAACCTCTCGGAAAGGCCACGATGTTTTTGTCGTATGTCCTGAATAGGGTAGTGTCAGGCTCTGATGGGTATTGACCCATAACTATAAGTGGGATTTCGGTCGGTCGGATTACTGCGAGAAGTTTTTTCATCGTTGAGATTTTCCATTCGATTTTCCTGCTTGGTCGAATGTCCTCTGTAGATGTTCTCTTGTGTTCCCGAGTCTTCTGTCTGCTATTTGATATCCAAGAAGTTGTAAGATAGGTGTAACCATGTTTTTTGTTTAGGATTTGTTTAGGATTTTCAAAATCCTCAAGTAACCTTTCTGAGGCAGTTGGAAACCCTTCGGAATCCACCTTGTCGGAACTCTGAAACGTTTTTTGGCACATAAAGAAGCCATGAAGAACGCATGGCATTTATTGTGTTGATAGAAGACGACGCATTGTTTACCCAAATACACCATGATGGTCATAAAAAATGAAATCCAATCCTAAAAAATTCAAATAGCTCAAATTTCAGTTTCCATACACCTGCGCTCACGGATGAGCGAGATTTTTCACGAATAGAAGAGTTTCACAACTACGGACAGACCTACATCGATACCTGTTATCCGGACAGTGGGCTTGATATGGACAGGTGGGTTTATCGATTTTCAGCAGTGCTTCTGTCCTTCAATCTATCGATTTCCTGTAATCAATCAAAAACGAAAAGCAGTTATTCCAGGTCATCCACACCGGATCAGTCAATGGGATCAATGACGGTTACGTCATCTGATTCAAGAGTGACGTCATCGGAATCAGGTCGTGAAGATCGTTGTGATGATCTGTTCGAAACGCTCCGAAGAGAAATGGTAGGTGACATAGTAGTACACAACTTGTTTACAGTAATACACCAATCAATAAATTCTAATGACACTTCAATTGCCCATAAACTTAATGTCTGGGGGTGGAAAGAAATTCATCCTTCATTTAACTATGGGGGATTTCAACCTTACGGTTTGATGGGGAGGTTTCTTTGATTTCTTTGTGCCTTAATTTCTGTATAGAAACGGCTTCGGGCTCAGATTTTCGTGTTATTGCTTTTTAACTGAAGTTTTCCTGCATATTCTGAGACAAATCGTACTATGTCGCATATCCGTGCAATTATTGATTGATTTTCAGCATGCGATGCGCGCACGCGACGCGGCTATATTGGCCGATTTACATCGTGTTGAATCGCAAATTCAGAGCGTTAAATTGGCTCGCCTTGGTATCTATGGTGCATCTCCGCAACCCGTACAAAGCCTTCCAATCTGAGGCGTATTCAGGTCATTAGTGCTAGATGTCTGCTTTACATTCGAATTGTATCAGTTGTCCGTATTCACTACTTATATCGGTGTCTATCATGATCAGTTATTCCTCGTCAATTTCGTTCATCGCATATATCGATCGTATTCTACAAGAGCGTCTCAGATACGAGGATTTCTGGAGCACTTTCGCGTATCGATTTTTTTCATTGATTGATTTTGCTCTAGTTCTCAATGCGACTCACAATCATATCTCTAGTCGCGCGTAATGCTCTTTATCTGTGTGTGTTTTATTCGTATATTCTTGACGTATCGTAATTTTTATCGTCTTATTGATTTTATTGATTATTTCCCCGATGTACATTTACAGTATACGACCCTTTTACTATGAGCGGGTTAGAATGTTTATTACATGATATAATAATAATGATGATGATGTGACCATTTTTGAGGCCTACCTTTACCTTTATATTTCGCTTGCTGTTCCTGGTTACCATATACCCAGTGTCGAAATCCATAAACCGACAAAATTGCCACTTCATTGTCTATAGCGGCGTTTCAAGTTCAATCTCGGATAAGTCTCCTAAGCCCTTCTCCTCATGGAGAAGACAGCCGTTCACAGAGACGCTATCGTCGCAGTAAGACCCGATTATTTTCCGTATTACTGTAATATTATCATAATGTGTTTCGATAAATTCTATTATAAAACTGTGAAAACTCGAAGTCTGGACAGACGGAAAAGTACCAAAAATATAGAAAAAGGAGAACGTCCGTTGCGCGCGTCCATTGAAAGTAGGTCACT